ATCTGGAGAGAAGTGCACATCACCTCGGCGTAGCAAGGGCCACAGCTGAGATGGGCAACTAGGTCATTACTCCTCACATACACTGCTAAAGAGGACCTAGATTCAGAATAGATATATGGAAGAAGTTGTTTATGATGATGGTGGTAAGACACTGGCACAGGTTGCCCAGAGAGGTGGTAGATGTCCCATCCTTGGAAACATTCAAGGTCAGGTTGGACAGGGCTCTGAACAACCTGATCTAGTTGAAAATGTCCCTGCTCACTGCAGGGGGATTGGACTAGATGACCACCTTAAACGGTTCCTTTCAACCCAAACTCTTCTATGATTCTATGACCTGCACTTTTTATTACAGTAGTGAAAACAAAGAGGGAATGTCAAGTGGTGTTGCAAAGCTTTTACACATAATGCTACCAATAGAAAGACATTGGGATCCCCACACAAAGTGTTAGGAGAGGGAAACTAGTCAGTGGTCTTCATGAAGTTCCCACTATGGCAGTGAAGAGATATTTCCCACCTCTCCCCCATCCACACTGCCCACAGAGGCAGCTCCACATCCAGCCTCACAGGGGAAATTTCCCTTGTTTTCCCTTTTGTGAACAACAGGAGGGAAAGGAGAAGACAGGATTAGGGGAGTGTGCCTAAGTAAATGGTTTCTCTTGGAGTGCTGCTACATTTTGTCAGAGAATAAGGGAAAGATCCTCATGGTGGCATTGCTTAGCCCATCCCATGGGGATCCTCAGGGCAGCCCAAAGCCAAGGGGAAATCATCTTGCTGGAGATTGCTAAGCACCAGAGCCAAAAGAGCAACACAACTCATCCATAGAGATTGCTAAACACGGGCCAAACCTCAGAGTTTTTTCCATGAAGGAGTAAACCTTGAAAACAAGACTAGTCCAGGTTTGGGTGCAGACAGGCCCTCGCAGGCACCCTCCCTGCCTCCAGCATCGGGTACCGACTTCACGAGAGGTGGGGTGGGCGTACGGGTGTCCAGGTTCAACCCGGTGTCTCCCACAGGCTTGCTCTGCAAGGGTAGAAGAGATAAGCAGAGCCCTGGAGGAAAGGTTTCTGCTGACTGCTGTAAAAAGCTCACTTGTAACTTTAGCCTAAAGGCCATCACTATTCTTAAACAAACACTTCCATTGTGCCCTGTTGCCTTTCCAGGAGTCCGGAGAGTTTTGTTGTATCTGAACACAATGGGTTGAATTCAGCTCGAGCTGCCTTACTAACCTTTCCCCTACCCAAATTTGCACATTCTCTTAATAATGTTCAATATGCTCCTTCTGAGGCTGAAATACTGTTTGGGGTACAGTTTTGCAGTTTTCCTTTTACCCAGCATACCATACTGCTGCTTCTCTTGGGAAATTAGTGCGAGGCAGCTAAAGTACTTTACCACGCAACGAGCAGCTGGAAAAGGCCAAAGTAGAAATGAATCTATCATAGATACATCCATTTAATCAATGATTTATTTATTTTTAATTGATACAGCTACTGAGACAATTTAGGAAACAAGGGTCAGGCCTGCAATAATAGGCTGGGCAAGAAAAAAAAAAAACCACGTGAGGAAGGTTCACCCTTCTCCGGAAATTAGTTCACTTATGTACAGCAGCAAATTGCAGGTGCACTCGTGTCGCACGGATAGACCCAGGGCGAAAAGGTAGTCTGTAACTAATTAACTCCCTGATCCAGCCAATTATACTTCATCCTTTTCAAACATCTGCTGAACAGCAGAAATGCGAACCTTTTCAATGTTTTATGCATGCTGCACGTCCCAGAGCAATAAATTCCAAACTTAACGCTGCGTGTTGTTCATTCCTTAGTGAGTACGTGTTTTAAAGCCTTAATCTAAAATGCCTATATCTTTGAATTTTAGACATCAAAATCAAATTGCGTATTTCAGATAAGACTGCTAACACAGTGGTTATGCTATAATGCCATCTTCGGAATGAAAATGATATTTAGCTCTAATGATATGGAACAACCAGCTTCTCAGGTGCAGTGAAATTATCAACAACCAACCAGCGGTTCTTTCAGTAGGCCTAAACGCTGCTTATTCCACTCAAAAATCAACATCAGACATTTCAGTGTCGTACTTCTCGTCGTTTCATAGTCGTGCAACAATCACACCCTTTTCTGGATATATAGACTTAAGAGATTGAGCCTGCAACAGATCCACTTGCCTTTTTAACCCCTCTCACCTTGACAGTGCTGACCTACAATAGCATCAGCTCCACAGCCGTTGGAGAGCTTTCCTTGGGCACAGCTGCTAGTGTCCTTGAGAATATAGTGTGTCTCCTTCCAGGAAAACAGCTGATTAGTAATTTTTTTCAACGAAACGTTCTTTATTCAAGTGTCAATTGATCAGAACGTTAGCATCTTGCAGGGATGTATGGAGCAGTTTGACATGAATAAAATCTCTGTCCAAAACCAGACAGTGAAATATGAGTCACGATCTGGAGTGGGGCCGTGTAAGATCCTTGAGACTGAGGCTCAGGACCTTCACTGACATCCTATAGATCAATGCTTAACACTTGAACCCTATATACTGGACATGTAGAATAAAAATTAGCTAGTGTAGGTAAAGCACAACGTGAAAAACTTCTTGCCTTGAGCCACTGCCAAGGCAAATTTGTGGAAAAAATAAATTCCCAGAGCTTTCACAAGAGAGGAAAGCTGTTTCCCACTCTGCCCTCAGTACTTCAGTCATCTAGAGAGATAAGTGCAGCAATAATTGTTAGCTAACACTGATGTCTTAGTAGCTGGGAGATTTTTCTGTAGCGACGTGTTTCAAAAAAATGTGATCCTCTACAGGTTTGACCCTCAGAAAGGCTTTTGGTGCCAGTTATTGGAAGGAGGAAAAACAAAGTGCCTAGGAAAAAGCAAAGGTCGAAAATACCCACCAATGGACCAAGAGGTAAGGGCTTTCCAGAGATTTAAGTTAACATTTTTTAAAACTGACCCTGTGTTTGATGCCTAAAATAAACCCACTGATTTTTTTTTTTTTTTAAAAAAAAAACACACTGGCTTGATAATTTTAAAAATCAGTACCCTTTAAAGAGCTTTGAATGAAAGGAGATTAATTGGCCTCTCTTAAGAGCCCCTCTCCTGGAGCAATGCACAGGTCCCGGGCAGGAGCACCTGCTGAAATCTGCCATCGGGTGGGTTTCCTTCTTTGACTCTTGTTTGTTTGTTTGTTTTTCCCACCCTTCTCAGTCTCGAGCGTTTCTGTCGAGCTACTACAGAGACCACAATGTGGAGTTGTCCAAGCTGCTGCACAGGCTGGGGCAGCCCCTGCCCTCCTGGCTGAGACAGGAGCTGCAGAAGGTCAGGTAGCACGCAACAGCGGGGGACCCAAATAAGGACCATTTCCTTCACCATCAAACCCCTTGCTTCTCCAACTCACTTGTGATCATCAGTAGAGGACCTCATGAATAACGCTCTTTCGATTACAAAAAAAAACAAACAATCACAGAAGAATAAAAAAAACCAAACCCGACAACTGTTTATATGCACGCACTGACAGTTATTAGCATCGACCCCTTTTGTCAGCTTCCAGGAAATAATACGGAGCTACGTGGCACTACTCTTCATCCAGACCAGGATTTGTGCACAGCCTAGTTCCTCTGTTCACCAGGACGTACCAGAAACTGTGTGTAGGACGGATTGACTTCAGTGTACGTGACAAATTGCAGTCTGTCAGGACACGAGCAAAGGATGGGAACATCTCTCGCAGGACTGTGAGGTTGGTCATCCACTTGGGTTTTTCCGCCTTTGTTTTCACTGTTTTTTTTCCCCAACCCTGCAAGTTTTCCTGCCACTTTATAGGGGGATATTCAGCACTTTGCAGTCGGGATCCCTAATGGTTATCATATATGTCGTATTAATGCACCACCATGGTTTTCTCCATGGAAAGCGGTGGGCCAAATTCTCACCTAACCTGCTTCCCTGGAACTCCCGTAATAACTGATGACAGTCTGTGCTCTTTCTTCTTTTTTTTTTCTTTTTTTTTTCCTCACAACAAGATTTTCTGGAGTTGCGTGGGTTGTAGAGGTACAAGGCAGTGAGGTGGCCCTCCTCCCAGATCTCAGTGAAATCCATTTCTTATCTTCGGGACATGGCTACTTTGCCACCCTGATAAGGTTTTTCATCGCATCTGTTGGGTTCCTCCAGCAGCTGTTGCAGAGCCCTGAGATGTGAAATCATGTCCAATATTTTGTCATAATGCCATCGGACTCCTTAAAACACCATCAAAACCTTCTAATATCTAAGTAGGCCATACAAGCATTGTACTGACAATAACCAATAAATCCACTATTTTGTTTCTATCTGGAAAGCAAGGGTTTTTCCCTGAAGCCTTCCAAGTACGAGATCAGGTTAGTCATTCAGGGTCTCAGTCTGCAAGCTAGTATAGAAAAAAACTTTAATGACCAAAGATATTTGTTAAGCTTTTGAAAAAAAATGACAGTTTGTTGAAGAACAAACTCCTCTTTCTATAGACTTGGATGGAGTTGGAAGGACAAGCATATCCACTATATAACACGTATACATATATAATGCATATGTATTTATGCCTGCACATCTACCTACTGCGTATCTAGATCAGATCTATACTTGGTTTTAAACACCTGCTTTTTGTCCCCATAAGTAAATGAAAGGGTGGTTTACCAAAAATATGATATTATGAACTGTCCTTTCTTCTCAGATCTGTGTGCGCAAGGTCGACAAGACCAGGCAGAAACTCGCTGGGAAATGTAAGCCGAGGGAATAAATATCATTTAGGCATTTTAGCCTTGTAACAGTTTCTCAGGAAAACAAAAGCTCGCAAAGCTTTGCTATGTGTCCTTCACGCAGCACAAAATGGGAGTAGTGTCAGTTTTCAAACTTCCCTTTGTTAGTTCCTAGGCAGAGGCCATTTCAGGTGCTGCAGAGGCTTTGTGCTTTCCCCTCCCCATGAACGTGATCCTTACCTCTGAGCTCAGGAGACAGAGCTGGACGTTGGGGTTGCACCATGAATTCAGACTGGTGACAGCTAGCTTTGGTGAGCACAGATCAGGGCACATCAAGGACTGCGGTGTTCAAGGGCACTTGCACGAATTGATTTAGGCTTCAAAACAGTTAATACACGTAAATGTCTATCTCAGAATTTCCAAACTCCTAAATCACAAGACTGACCACCAAAATCATGATGCTAGGTTATTTTGGATTGGCAAGTCCAGTGCTTCCCAGAGTTGTGCCGGTGTCACCCTCCTGCTCTCAGCTCGGTAGCGGTGGCACTTGCCAGTGAATGTCCTCTGGCACCACCTGCCTGTCACAGTGTTTCCTCTCACCCGGCCTCCACCACGTTCTTCCACCACTGCTCATCTGAACGTGCCTGGCTGCTTCCCCTCTCCACACTGCTCCAGCTCTTTTCTCAGTCACTGGCCCAGGTACCCCCGTCAATGCGAGGGGCAGGCGCTGCCCTCCTCGGTCCCGCACACACAGCCCACGGGGTTGCACAGAGGAGAGGTTGACGTGCAACCAGCACCAAGTCCCTGCATGGTCCCTTGTGCTCCTGCTCTTCACCTAATCCCTCGCTCCTTCTGCAGGAGGACTCACAGCAAGGGTGGGAATAGGACAAGGACAGGTAGCCCCTGCCCAGTGGCTGGCGACAGTGCTGCACCAGCCTATGCCCACAAGCACGTACATGAACACAGAGGAAAGACAAGCGCTGCCCAGTTTCATGTTTGCTTTTAAATATCGAAATAGGACTCATCTCACATAAGTGAGACATCTACTTTATTTTATAGGCGATGAAGGGAAATAGCGCTTCTAGGACACCATTCATCTCATCACAAAGCAGACTTCTTAAATGAGTGAGATTAATCTTGCCTCTTCCTCTCTATTGATTGTAAAAGGACAATAGACAACTCGTTTGTAGGAAGAGCTCAGCTGTATAGCTCTAAAATTAGGCGAGCTGAAAAGGAGACGGTACTTTATCTCACAGCTATGGTTGTTGAAGATGGAGCTGGGAGGGTGTGAGGGAAGGTTTTGATTTCATTCTGTTTTCCTAAAGCAATTTTTCTAGTTCTTATATTTCAACCAGGAAGACTCTTCAAAATGAGCTAGGGCAAACTAAATGCCAAATAAAAGGAACCTTACGTGGCTTTTTGTTTGGTTTGGTTTGGTTTAGGTTTGGCAGGAGGGAGTCAGTCACATAATTGGTTGCAAATTCGCACTCTTTTAGCACTGATAATGCCAAAGATGAATAGTCTGATGAGAGTTTTGGATAAGTAAGGCTTGGTCAGAGAAGAATATCTAAATCAACCATTTGATAACATTTTAGCTGTTAAAATGCATTAGAATTGGCTCATCATTAATTAAAAGATGACTTTATAACTTCTTGATTAAATGCTAAATAAACATGAAATTGCTTTCAGGAGTTTTTCAAGGAAATGAGACAAAAGCCATAAAATCTGGAAAATTATTCCTTGTTCTTAGCTTTTCATTTAGAAAAAAAGAATCAAGTCTTTCCAACTCCCAGCTCTGTAATAGCATCATGTCCTTAAAACACACTGGACATTTTTATACCTCATTGTTATTTTTTAAGTCTGAATGGGCATCACGTTTCCAAGAGATCTCGTGTTCCATTGAAAACTGACATTTGAAGTGACTTCATTATGTGTCATATAAAGATGAAATAACAGTATTTCAAAGCTTCATTCCTTCCACTTGTAATAGGACCCATCAACACAGAATTTCTCCAGACCACCGCATTATAGAGAAGCCTTTGTGAACTGGCTGTAAATGATCTCGATTTCTTTTATGCCTTTCATATCACTGACCACGTAATTGTTGGGATTCTTAAAGACCAGCAAAACAAACGTAATAAAAATGAAACATTTATTCATGGCAAAGGGGCTGTAGCTGAGAAGGGAAATGCTGGCCCTTCTTTCCTATTCATAAGCTACAGGATTCACCTTGACAATACCTCCATGTGGTGTAGGCTGAAAAATCAATAGGAATTTTACACACTGGAGGGCCACAGCTGCAGTTTGCTCCCATTCTCCTGGAAATCCAGATTCCCACTGAGGTTCGAAGGAGCCTTGTTGCTCTGAGGACCTGACCTACTGCCCATGGAGACCAGTGGGAGTCTTGCTATTAATTCCAGCAGACTTCAGTTGTTCCCAAAGAGCCGGTTTCATAAGGCACAATCGACATGGTTCAAGCATCACGTAACCCTATCACTGCTGGAAATCCATCACTAATTTAATTTCTATTAGCGAGCAGCGATTTCTTCCCCCCACCTCTCTTGGTCAGTGCTCTGCCGTGGCTGGAGCTCCAAGTCATCTCCCGCTTCCAGCAGCTTGTGAGGCTACACCACTTCTGGTCTCGCCGTACCACACGGGTCCCTCTCTGCTCCATCCTCCCACCTCGCTGGCTACAAGAAATGGAAAACCCTATGAGCCAACACAGGTGTTGAGGTCTATAGTAGCATATTTGATGATTAAAGCAGGACTTTGGCCCTCCGAAAATGGAGCTTGTGTAATTGAGGTTGTGTTTGAGCGAAAAGCAATCAGGACGGAATCCAAAACCAGCTAAATTATGCATTGACCTCTCAAGGTCTAAACTAAAGTTGCCGGATTAACTGCTCATAGATGTTTTCTAATAAAATAGGGAATCAGACTGCTGAGTGTCCCCAAAACAAATTAAGATGGCGGAATTAAAAATTCTTGGGGGAGGAAAATGTTGTGTAACGAAAGCGCTGATGGGTCCAGACTCTCTGATGTGATAAGACGGCAGCAGGGACATGCCCTGAATAGAAAAGCAAAAACTGAGTATTTTCTTCTGTTCCCTCCCCTTCCTCCTTTTCCTTCCCATGGGTGCTAAATTTTGAGCGGTGTATAGTGCATCTGAAAAGCACACGACGGCAGAGGCCGTGAGACGGGGGAACATTATTCATCTCCAGAACAATCGGCCGAGAATAAAGTGGCTGCAGGGTACTCATTTCCCCTGAGCTGGGCCACCTTCAAGTCAGACATCAAGTCCAAACTAGTCATTTAGTTTCCATCAGTAGCAAATTGTTGATAATGGGTTTAAAATTGATGTTTATAACAGGTGGGTGAGCGCGTGACAGCTGTGTAAAACAGGTACAACATAGGTGTATAAATCAGCAGAGATTAAGTGTCTAATTTTATTGCAGTTAAGTAAGATGAAGCTGGTGTCAGGAGCAGCTCTCTTCGCACACGCAATTCAGTTTTGCCATTTTAGCGCTCGGAATGCAGTGCCATCTCTTTCTTACCAGGAGATACTCTCCTTCTCAATGACATGAAATCTCCTACGGTCACCTCACTCCATTTGTCCTCAGCGGTAGCAGATGATGGAACCCAGCTTTCCCAGTTAGTCTGTCCATCGTTATGTTAGTTCATACATCTCTGCATAAATCTGCCAGGAATTGTTGCTTTGGA